CAGATACAAGCTTCGAAACGATGCGACCGAAAAAGCAGAGAACGAACAAAAGTGAACTGTGTAAGACGGTGTGTTACATCCACTTGCGAAATGATAAATCGAATGAAAAACACATCGAATCGAGCAGTCTTGATATCACGGGCGCCTTCTGTACAATGTACACGAATCGAATATAATCTTTGAGGCGAAATACAAGTATATGTTCGTGCATTCATTTTTAGCGTTATTAATGTCAAAATGATCTAGTGAAATTAATAATTGTTTCTCTTCTTCATTTTATTTGTATCGCCATGGTAGTGTTGCTGAGCGCACGCGTGTATCATGTATAAAAAATGCTAAACATGAAATCATTTTTCGTTTTTTTTTGCTTTCGTTGTGGCGGCGGTGTGATGTTAAATGTATTTCATATGATGCTCGTGATTTATGATCATTTGATGTTTGTCTCACTGCTTTTTATAATACACTTATGCGTGCTGCTCCACCATTGCTTCGTCACAAATACTTGCGCTTGCTGTTTCTTCAAAATGTTTCTTGTGGCGACAAATAGTGGATGCATAAGAATAGACATTAGTATAAAGTCAAACGTCGGCAAGCAATTACAATATTAAAAGAGTCTAACCAAGGAATTTTATGCTAAGCAAATGTTTGGTCTGAAAATACGGTCGACGATGATGTGCGAAACAAAAGCCGGTTTTAGTCTCAACATGCCATGTAATATTCATAAAGACACCAAAGCAGAATTTGCTATAACGCAAACAAGACAAAATCTTTTTTTAAAACAAAAAGTGCCATTTTATTGCCAATAATAATTCTTACTTCGTACTTGCTTAACTGTGAGCAACGAAGCAGTATATCTCATCGCACAGCGACTTCGTTGTACGCGCGTAAAAATGATCCATTTTGACATTTGGGATATATGTATATATATATTTTTACGTATACTTTTGCAGTTCCAAGGTACTTTTTGCGTAGCACAGATTGGTGACAGTTGGCGAGGTTTTCACAGCTGAAAGCGACACATCGTCTTCAAAATTATAGCTAAAAGCGCGTTTATTTTTGCTGTTTGACTGGATACTGAAAACACATGCATTGCAATGAATGCAACCAACGGCAAACATACAAATAAACTCTTCAAAAAAATATGACACAACTTTTCTGGTATTTTTGGATGGTTTCGTTCATGTTTCACAGTCACAACATGATCAACGTTTATCGTGTTCAATTGTACACTCTACGCCATTCGTTTCTCACCATTTCTGCTTATTTTTTCGCATTGTATGCGTTTTGTTTTTTTTCTCGCTTTGTTGCTTACAAATAATCGTTTTGCAAGTGGTATTCGCGAATGAACTAATACAACATGTTCAGTTGAGTCCGACTTGGCTTCAGCTATAATACTCCAGAAAATGTGTTTCTATCTCTCTCTCTCTCTCGTTATTTTTTTCGCGTGCTTCCCGATTATATTTATGATAACTGAAACGGCGCGACACATTTTGCCACAGCTTGAGAACAAACCGCAAGATGACAAGAGAATAAATGTACAAAAAATAAAAACAATACGATGAAGCAAAGGAAGATGTTCTAGATAAACTATTCGCCGACTCATGTTTTTGGCGTTTGGTTTGTTTTTGAAATATCATATTCTTGAATTGTGCAACAATATGCATCCATGCCTGTGTGCTACTGCTGTGCACCATTCATAGGGTGTCAATGTGTTTCATTTATTCATAGTGTTTTAATAAAATGTTACTTTGTTCTTAAGCCGAGCGAACGAATAAATCTAATGGTCTGTACAATATGGAGATAATGTCACATTGTGTAGAAATGCATAGAGTTCACCGCTTGATTCTCACTGTAAACTCGCAAAACAATTATTCATTTTCCGTCGCCCGTTGCAACAAAAACCAATTTAATCAGAAATATAAGAATTGTAAAGAGAAAAGTTAGACAATGCATTATGAATATATTAGCAAAAATATTCTGAAAAATTGTACAAATGCTTGGGCTCAAGTACACATAATGGTTCTGGCAGCGGAAACGAATGTATATACCTAAAAAGCAAAAAAAAAAGAAGACTGAGCGAAAAGAGAGAAAACTTCGGTGTAAAATGACATTTTCGCTTTTACATGAACTCGCGTGTAGAATCTCAACATCATCTCATGTTTGCGTCATATGCGAAAAATCATACACCCGTAATGCAATTATGTGGTTCTATTATTATTATTATTAGTATGCTTGGCGACAGCGGCAACGACAATAGTAAAAAAAACTGAGCACAGTTGCATATGTTTTCGTGGAGAAATCCAATTTCATTTGCCATAACGTGTATTCCCCGTAAGTCGTTGAGGCTGTATGTTTATTTTTTGCTGTTTTGAAAACAAATGTAAACCTCTTAAAAATTGCGATATGTTACAGCGCGCACTTTGGTCTGCATATATGTGTAGAGTATTTCTGTATTGGTATATGTGTATGTCAAGAGTACAAACGTTCGTTTGTTTAAGAAAGAAAAATGATTCAAAGTGCAATGAAACAAACAAAAAAAAAACGACAGAAAAAGCAACAACTATCGGTGGATTTGAATGTGTTGTGGATGGAATTCATTAAAGTCAGCAGCAACAAATGAAGTAAAAATCAAGATTTATGTACTTTTATAATTAAATTCATTCGACTCGCGCGACTATTTTTCGTTATTTTCAAATGAAATGCAACTATTTCCCCTCGATTCACTTGATCATTGTGTTTGGTGGCTGCCTTGGCATTTGCATTTGCATTTTGATTGTTTCATCTTTTGCACCATTCTCCTTCACACAATATCCGTTCGTATGGTTAGTTTTTTGTTTCGCTCAATCAGCACATTTAGCGCTAAAAACAAATCTAACGGTAATTTCTCTCCCATTCACATTTCAGAATTATTATCAGTTGGTTTGTGGCGATAAATTGTCAGGTAGCGAGTGCATTTCTTCAAAAATGATCGTTTAATGGTTGTATCACGATTGCAGATTGCATGTCAAATATTTACTCGTCGCTAACGGTAAATTAATATTAATCATTGGTTGACCCCGTTTAGGTGTTTGGGAATATGTTTGAATGACATGAAGTGCTGAAGCGATTCAATGCTGCACACGATCAGCACGTACAAAGATTAGTATATATGAAATATATCATTGGGATTGGGTTTGCATTCGTAATTAGCGAAAAAAAGAAAACATTTCCCCCCAGAAGCATAGATGGCGAAGAGCAAAATCAAATGGTTCGAAGAAAAAGCAAACAAATTACTTCGGGACGAGATGGCAGTGAAAAATATATGTTGATTCTTTTTTTTTGTTTTTGAAAGATCACAATTTCAATACAATGCACACGGCGTTTTACGTCTTCCATTCGTGCTGGCTTGTGCATTCAATGGCATGCAAGCGTTATACTCGAACTCAGGCTTATATTAATTAGTCGTCGGTCAAGCGGAATAATGTAACCGTTTTCTTTTCGAATGTAATTGTCATCTGGGCATGTTTAGATCGCGCATGGATTTTAACTTGCCTTTTAAATACAACTGCTTTAACAAACGGTGTGTGTATTTATCTGTGGCCGTTTTCTAATTTATTATCTTTTTCCCAGTTTCGTTACCGTACATTACTTTAGCACATTTCGTTCTCTGTTCTATTGTTTGTAATTTGTGCTAACGGGGTTCTCACTAAGTTTTTCGCATTTGACTTTTCAAAATGTTCGCTTCGCATCACAAAATTTGAGTTTCTGCGAATTAAAAACAATTTAACCTTCCTCTGGATTAACAATATTCATGTGCACCTCGGTCTTTTCTTCAGAACATCCTCGCCATTGTTGGAGTCATGATTATGTAAATCATTTGTTTTGGTACAATTTTCGTTATCGATGTACACATATTTGGAAAAACAATGTTTTGTGTGCTATTCACTCCCTTCGTTTGCGATGCGCATTCATTGTTGCACATTTGAATATACGTTGTCCGCAATGAAGAGTGAAATTCAGAGAAGGCAAGGCGCATTTGACTGTTATTTTTATTATTATTCAAAGCATTACTTATGCAGTGAAAACAGTTTCAAATCTTGTTCCTTTTCATATGGTAAATATGGTTAATTTGTTCGTATTTACATCATTGCTCTTTGAATTGCTGTATGCTTTAAATCGTCTTCGTCACTGTCAATAGTTACGCGCTTTTTTGGGCTCGGTCAATTCTCTTTCAATCCGACTTAATGTTCTTTTTCAGTCGCGCAGAGTATGTCTTTGGAAAAGCGTTCATGTTTAATGATTCATATTATTCCGTTTGCAACAAATAACATAACATGTCTGATGAATTTCAAAGTAATCACACCGAAGGTGGAACAGTCCAAAATAATGAATAGACGAAACATGTAGCATTTGATATTTGGATTCGAGTGAAATGAGAGAACAATAGAGACGAAACATGAAAACAACTTGAAAATGACAAGAGAAAAACATGTAAATCATTTTGATGCTTATGATTTTGGCGTGTGTGTTTCTTTGTTGTTGTTGTCTTGTTCGTGTTTGCTTTGTTCAAATCTTAGTTTGTAATGCAGAAGACGACTGGAGCATTGTTATTAAAAATACAAGAGGGACTCGATTTTACTAAGCCTATGAAAATTAAATAATGCAGACAAACAAAATCAATTCAATTGTAAATTTTATATATTTATAATAGGTTTTCTTTTCCCTCTTCTAGAGCATCTTTAAAGAAGATAAACCGTGCCCATTCTAATAAATTTGACTATTCTCATGTTGTTAAGTTGTAGGTGATTGTGTATTTTAAATGTTTTTCAATTTATTCGAAAATTTATGAGTAAAAAATCGTGATTAATGACCAAACATTTAACAAACTGGCCATGACACTCGGACCATATTTAATCAGACAAATTTTGATTTGTTTACATTAAAAATCAATTGACTATGTATTATCGAAAATAGTAAAATATTTCTTAAAAGATATTCTATTAGAAAGTTATCAAACTTACTTTATCCAGTAGCTGGTTATGTGGTCAAAGGTGATGAATATTGCAAGAGTTGTTATGGCTTATATTTAGTGATTTCAAAATGCCGGAAATCCATAAGACCAAAACTGAAAATAAAGAAGAACATTTATAATGATATTTTTGTGGTTTTTATGTAGGGTCAAATTTAATCTAGCGACAGTGTCAATCGAGATAGTCGTTATGTCGACACAACACTGTGTTTATTTTGAAATATAAAAACTAAAATTACTTCGTTGATTTCCCTAGTTGAAATGGAAATAAATATTTAAATCAGTTAACAAGCCCATCGTGGCTCAATTACTTGGATTGCAAGACAAATGGTCACAAAGTATGTAAAATGAATGTGGAAGCAAAACACATTAATAGATATGTATTCCAAAGTGGAACACAGTATTTCGATTCTTTTTGACGAAACGACAATTTTCTTTCTCTTCTTTTCATTTTTTGTAATGCAATCGTAGAAAGAGTCACGTGTCAAATCGATGCAGCGGCGAAAACTTTAATAGAATTGAGTGTATGAGAGATGACAAATGTACTGAATTTGATTAAGAAGCTCGGCTTGTGGTCGCATTTCACGCTTTCTTCATTGGCATTCACATTATGCCATATATATGTGTGTTTGCTTTTGAAACCAGATTTCTTTTTATACGACAAACAAATGCAAGCGCATTGTCGACCGTATGTACAATGTATGTGCATTTATTTGAATAAATGTTTTCAATAGGTTCTTTTCGATTGCCCACCTCGGCCGACAACCGAAAAAAAGAATCAAATGAGAAAAGTAAATCAGAGTTTTGGAAACCACATATTGTGCTACCAACATGAAACATTACATTTTACTGTAAGAAAAACCGAATAACGATTCATTGTCGCTTGAAGAGATCGAGAGAGAAAGAGAGAAAATCTTTTCAATATCGGTTTCTTTAGCGGCTGTCTTTTTGTCGACTAAATTTTTTTTTGTTCTGTCTTCCTCAATAACACGTGTTCCATGCAATCGCCAATGTTTGGCATTTGACTTTTGGTCACTTTATATGCAAACCGGGTAATGCAAATGGCGGCGATCTCTTTGTGTTGATGATATAAGCCGATGTCTTCACTTTGATATTCAAAGTTTATTGATGTGTCGTGCCGAATTGTGTCTGGCTTCCGATGCAGATAGAATAACGTCACAAAAAAATCCAATAACGCAACATGTTCTATGCAAATACCCCAAAGAGAACTTTTGATACAGATTTGCACTCTAGCGCAAGATACGAAAATCAAAATTTGCTATGCACAAGATGAAAAACTTGAATCATTACACATGCAAAAAGTGTGTTTGCGTCAATTGTTTTTCATCATTGTAATATTGGGGTATATACCAAAAGGGGGCCATATGCTACACAACATTCGATGTGAAATTTATGGCTGACTCTGTTCGGAATGCAACAAACAAAAGAAGAAAAAAAAGTATTCTCGGAGCGCATAACATTGGCAGATGTATGGTAAGCGCGTCGCATATGCCATATTCTGTAGCTGACAAAGTTTCAAAGTGAAGCGGCTAGAATAACATTGATGCGATTACATTCCATGTGGTGGAGCATTTGACTTTTTTTGCACAACTCTGCAATTGAATTCAAGAGCGGAAAAAATATTTGCACATGTTTGGAAATTCAAAAACTTATTTTTGTTGCAATATAACATTCACATTACGAATGATTCAAAGAAATATATTATTATTATTATTTTGAGGGAGGCCAACATAAATTCAAAATGGTATTTTGATTGTTTGATTTTCCACCTCAATACATTGATCGATCGAAACTAATTACATACGTTTTGAATAAAACCACACAGTCTGATCTAGTTCCTACCGACATAAAATCACTCAGGAAGAAATACAAATAGAGTTGAAATCGATAAATAATTGAGAAATATATTCGACTAAAAGCCATATGTGCTCTACCATACAACCAAAACGCTTGAGCCATACGATTTTCAATCGCATAAAATATAATCCTCTTCCTGCTTGGTTGAAAGAGTTTTTCGCCTCTTCGATTCATACCCTGCAGCAATAAGCAACTATTCAATGTAATGATTTCCACAATTTTGTGTATCGATTGTGCGAGTAATTTTCATTCCAACAGCCGTAATCAATTTACGATTTCAACAAAAAAAACTGAAAACCAGAATGCCTGCTCGGCTCACATAATAAGACGCAATCGTTCGATCGGCAATTATTTATCAACAGAAATAATCACAATAATCATAAAATTTCATTGGGTATTAACGTACACATATATAATAAAATAATAATCGGTAGTAATAGGTGCATTTGACATGGTTAAGACTCGATCATTGTGTTCATATATTTTTAAATAAACATTTTGCTTCGGAAAATTGCTATAACATTGTAATAGTCTAACAATGCTTTTCAACGATTCAAATGGATAAATATATTTTTTCTACTGTATGGATAATTTTTTTTTTTAATATACTTCGTCCTGTGAACTGAAAGTCGGGAATTATGAGTGAAAAAAATCGAAGTATGTTTTGTGTCTGGAATACAGCCTATTGATTTTTAATACTTTTTTAGCTGCTTAACGTTAACTGAAGCAATTGCGAAGAAAATTCAATAATAAAGTTTCATCGAAAACAAAAAAAAACAACAAGCATATTTTAAAAATTCGAATAATTCTTTCATTTTATTCGTTCGTCTGGTAAATATTTTTCAATATTTTCCTGTTGTTTTTAATATCAGTTGTTTTTGCTTCGGGATGGTTTCATTGAATCGTGCAGTTCTCTCTTCTGATGTTTGTATAAACATTGGCTCTGTGCATTCAACTGCACGTTCGAAAATGAGGCAAACTTCACAATATGCGAGAGCATAAAATGAAGTGAACAAAAATATGGATTGTGCGAGTGTGTTCATGATATGAAAGAGATGGCATAAGACGACACATGAATGAAAAGAACAAACAAAATGACGACAGCTGGATCGAATTTTGTACAATAAAAATAAAACTATATAATAAGACTAATAATAATCATAAGTTTATGTGCCTGTGTTGTGTATACAACCATAGTTGAGGTGAATGTATTCAATTGAAGCAAAAGTATTGCAATTCCGAGATGCAATTCGAACAATAGTCGAGAAAGGCCGTTGAACAATAAAATTTCATGTAATGAAATGATAACAACGTTGAAACGCCACATCAACAACAAACCGGCACCCGCAATCTGGTCCATTTTTTGAGAAAACGTAATTCGAAACAATACGAAATATTTCATATATTTCATAAATGCTTTTCTTTTTGCTCTCTTTTTGCTGTCGGCTTCTTCCATCTTTCTCTTTCTTTGTTCCAAATGCATTCATAGTTCATGCAATGGTATCGCTCGTTTGTCCACATAGACGAATCAAAACGTAGATAGGAATTGGCTAAACCTTTGTAGCCGATTCTTCGCACAATTCTTGTGTGTCGATGCGTTCACGTTTACGTTTGTTTCTTTTATAGTTGTTGTTTCGATATCTCGTTCGCCTACTAAAATATTATTACTTTTTCTATTGTTGTTCGTTTCAATTTTTTGCAGTCTCAATCGATTTGTATTGTAACCTTTTACACTCTTCCATTGTGCAAGAGCTGGTTTGAAATGAAAAATGACTGAAAGAAAGAGGAAATGTTCGAAGCAAAGACCTTTCAAACGGCAGCTATTTGGTCAAAATCATAACAAATCGTATCGTTTGATGTCTAACACATGCATTGAAATACAAGAAGACCAATAAAACTTCGAACACGGCTCACATTTGATGGATGATCGAAAATCGTAAATAAACAATCCATACGAATTGATTAGATGAAATGCAAAAAAAAAAAAAAAAAAACATTTATACAGGGAGTGAGAAGATGTTTTCTTTTAAAAAGAAAAAGAAAATTAACTGCATTTGTTCGGCATCCTTTGTTCATTAGTGAGTGAATGCCATAAACTATTTCAATGCAATACGAATGAAATGCAGGTAAATTACAAAATCATCATTTTGATTTCCTTTGAAATATCAGGATATGGAATTCAAAAAAGTTGTTGTTTTGTTGTGCCTGTTTAGTGAAACAATAAAAATCGATCGTTCCGTTTTTATAGATTACAATGCTGTTATTCCATAATATTGAAAAGACTGCCTTCAATTTAGTTCAATAGTTCTGACCATGGAACATGTGCGATACATAAATTACGATTAAATGCACCATTGATCGAAAAACTACACACATTCTGTTATGTTGTTCGATAAATTTCCTATGTGGCGTTCGTATTTTCGTTTTGTAACACACTGATTTGGTACATTTTTGGAATTTTGAACAGCTCGGAGGTAACTTTGCTAGATTTGGTGAAGACCAAATCTGGAGCATATACATACTTTCTTTCGAGACCAGAGACCAGTTTTAATTTGCAAACTACAATGCCATTTGGTAAGATAAGAACGAATGAGAAGTTGTACTTCTTCGAAAACTAAATCCACATGTGTACTGAACAATTTATCAACCCCGAATTCATTTTGACGACTTTTGTGCCAAAGTTTTCGGTGTCACACAAAAAGTGAAAACATACACACACTCACACCCACATAAAGTTGAACTGGCAAAAAAGAAAAAAGAATGACAAAGATTGAAAATTATGAGAAAACTCAGTTCAAAAAGTAGTAATTTAGTATGTTGGAAGCAGCGATATGAATATATTCGTTCCACATTTCACAATGAGAAAATTGTTGCGGTCAATTAGAATTTAATTCCATCGTCTTCGCACTTGTTTCGTAAAATGGACGACAGTTTAGTCAAAGAAAAGAAAATTTACAAGCTATTAAATTTTCAGTAGACATTAAAGCATTCATGCAACTTCGATTGCCTGTGTTGGATGTGTATGCAAGTGATTTGGAGAGTACATGTCAAGCGTACCGTGCTTTGAACGAAGTTTCTTTGTGTAAACTTTTTCAACTACTTATTGCAGGCGATAAACTTATACTTGGACTTAACGACCAAGATAACGCACTGTCTCACTGTCTCTGAGAACATTCGTATAGCTGATTATGCATCAAACACACTCTTGAACGATTTCA